CACATGAAATTGTTTGATTTAGGAGAACCTGTGCTTGAAACGGAGCGCTGAACTCTTCACATTAGGTGCACGGATGGTCGCTCTTTCTCGGTCGCTGTTCATGGCTATCGTATGACTGCTTCTCTGTCAACACGTTCATTCATGTTTTTCGCTGCAGCGCTCCCCCCCCCCCCCCCTTTTTTTTTTGCTCCCAGCAAAGGAGGATTCCCGTGTGCGGAACACTGCGAGGTTGCATGTCCGATATTTGGAGATGCAGCGTTCTTGGTCTGCCGACGCAACCCCAGCACTGCCTCGGGATGTTAGGCTTAGCAGGTGCGGCTAAGCAAGCAGTGTATCTCACTAGTAATGACAAAGCATACCTGATGCTTTCTCCTGTAGGTAATATTCAATAAATCGATGGCTGATTTCATCATTTATTCATTGCTGCCAGCGCAGTGGGGGTTGTAGCAAGAGCTGGTTCGGATTGAAGTGGGCAGTCGCTTCAGCGCGGGTGCTTCCATGTTGATTTGTAACTACAGTTATCGGTGGCAACAGTCACAAATAATTAGATGCATACGAAATAAATGCAAAGAACAACAAACATATGACATATTGATGTGTCGTAATATACCAAACGGCAATTTTAGCCAACCCTGTCCATTTTAAGGCACTTATATCTGGGACTATGTTCTGCTGTCCAAGCGTGTGGCTTTCTTACACCCCGTAGCTTTGGTAGTGCTGAACCCCAGTGGTGAAACAAGAGTATAGTTTAGCCTTTAATTTATCAATTGCAGACTCCTTTAGCAGTTGGATTGTTTGAACAGTGTAACCAGGATGAAAAATACATGTATGAAGGGGATGAAATTTTGATGGAGAAAGACTAAGTTTAATTGGCACTTCAACATACACTGTAACCTTGATTATATGGGAAACAGTACATATATACTGTAGGCAATATACAGGAAATTTTTTCACAGAGAGTTAACTTGCGAAGGCTGGGGTGGGAAAAGAGTGTGTGTGGGTGCACAGGCTCTGTCAACATTAGGAACATCAGAAAACAATCAACCGTCAATCTCACTTGCCCATCATGCTCACCCCGCAACCTCACAATCGCTGCTCTTGCTCAACATTCTCTGACGATATTGAACTTTTCTGCTTGAAATCGTAATATTGAAATTGTAATCGAGATTGAGCTTTCTCTGCCTTTTGAGGCTTCTTCAGTAAATTTATTGCTGTCTTGGTGCACAAGCAAGGTCTTTTATTGTAGACTTTATGTTAGGCTTGTGGGGTCTGTCTTGGTGCACAAGCAAGGTCTTTTATTGTAGACTTTATGTTAGGCTTGTGGGGTCTCAGTATGGAGAGCGCCACGCTCTTGGAGTGAACAGACACAGCGGAGGCGGTCGAAACGAACCAAGTGAACTACTTTAGAACTACAATATCGCCAGCCAAATTATAATAACATCAATTGTGATCAACATGCTAAAACATCCTTACACAAAATTACACCACACTCAACAACATAAAAAACACAATACCACATCCAAGACGATGTCGCCAATGCTCGACTTACCACGAGGGCCCACCGCAGACGGCCCGCGGTGCCACCTACGGCAGACTTACCGCTAGAGACAACCGTTCCCGCCAACCGCTACGCGCCAAACAGACTCGCTCATCTCTTCCTTGCCGCCTGTCACAAACGACTTCAATTTTCGGATCATCCGCGGGCCCCATCTTCCAAGGAAGGGCGCTTTTGTGTTGGGGACGACATCCGGGGATTTTGTGTTGGGGACGACATCCGGCGACTATAACGACCCAGCGTGGCGCCGGCTCGTCTTCTCTGCACCGGTGCCAGAAGGGGCGCCGGCGGTCTAAACAAGGAAAATTACTCCCAGATGAGACGGGAGCACGTGTACGCCCCTGAGGAGGTTTGAACTGCATCGGAAAAGCAGTTGACGTAGAGCCAGCAACAAGTGCGGTCGTCGGTGTCGCGAGTCTCGCGTGGGCGACGAGCATGGAGTGACCCGCACAACGTATTGAGACGGCTGCGATTCCGGGCACCCTCGTCGTCTACCGACCCGGCGAGACCTTCAGCGGCACCCGTCAACTCCCCTATGTGCACCAAGAGCTGGCCTGGTCCGTATGGAAGTTTTTATTGTGACTTTTTTTTTAAATCGTTAATTTATTATAACCAGCCCTTTTTTTTTTTTTTTGTAGTGTGCGCTGCGTCGCTCATTGAAATTCAAAAGCGCCACCATGAGTATTCTGTAATTATTTCCTTGTATCTCCTGTGATTCATGCCATTAGTTTAACATTCCGCGTATTCGTCTTTAGTCTGTATCTTTTGTAGTGTTTTTTTAGCATATTTTGTTATATAGCTGTTCTTTCCATCGGGCGTATCAGTTTCCTGTTTTGTTATTTTTGTTAACTCCTGCCTTTGCCCTTGTTTGAATTAAATGCTAGTTCGTTTTGCATAAAATCTCCGTGTCTGCTTATGAGTGCGTCGATCAGGCTCATTCATCACCACACGTGCAACGCCGCACGGGTCGACCGACCTGCAAATAAATTTTAAATGTGCCACTTCGAGGCCTTTCAGGCGTCGCAGGCCGAAGCGTAAAGTGGAAGCCTGCGAGTCTGCCGCACGTCGGTGTTGGATCGGCGGGGCCTCACCCGAAGTGTGTGACATCGCCACTGAGTCTTGCTGTCAGGCGTCACTGCCGGCGCTACCGTTCTAACAACCATGGTGATAATCGCTCATGAGCACAACGCCACCTACCGCTCAATAGTTGTGACCCCCTAAATGCGGCCTATGTGCGAGACACGTGCGCAATGCGGCACAAACAACTCTACAGAAGGTGTTAGCACCCCCACAGGCTCTAATCGCTGGGCTGCCTGGGGAGTAGAAACTCTTCGGTCTTTCGAGGCTGTAGCTAGTCCTCATGCCTCCAGTGCCACTCTATGAGGGGTGGCTTGACTGATGCTGACTCGAGCCACTTGTTGAAGGTAACCTCTCTTGGACTCGAGCTCATATCCTGTATTGAGTGTTTTGTATCATCAAATGTTTTAGGTTAATGAAGTGTTGTATGTTCAGAACTCATAGTTGAATTGGTCATGACACATTGCTGTGCAAAAAAAGTGCGTGGTTTGAATTGCAGTAACACAGCCACCAGCATTCTCCCATTAATGAATGGGGTGCAATGACAATACTAAAGAATTTGATCTTATTGTAATTGCAGTGTTTCTTTCGAATTCTCTTGGAGCCTGTGCTTCAGTGTTTCAAAAGCCCCGTTCTGCTTAACCGTTTCATGATGAGTGATAGGGGGCTGTGCACAAGTGCTCAGTACTATGCTGCCTCATAAAGGGCTGAAAGTACCCACTGTGATATCTTAGCAGGTAAAATGCAGTGCTGCTAAGCTCAGGGATGCAGGCTCGATTTCTAGTGGTCGCGGCCACACTTAAACAGGGATGATACGTAAAAGCCTGTGTATGTAGATTTGAGTGCAAGTTAAAAAAAATGCTTGGTGGTAAGAATTAACCCGGAGTTTTCTCTATTGGTTGCATCATAGTCATATTGTGGTTTTGGCACGTGCAACCCAAGAAATTATTGTTTCAAAAGGACTGGAAATGTGGACACATAAGCTGTGGCTTATTGTTTGAGACATGCATTTAAATCTGCTTTTAAAATGGTTAAATCTGCCGAACATTGAATGAAGGAAGGAAGTAGAATTTAGGGGCCTATTTTTTCTTGTTTTAGACAAGAGCTCAAAGAAAGCTAACAGACAGTGAAGCGAAGGAAGGTATAGAAGACATTGATTTCAGCCTTTCAATTGTATTGTAGTAATCATTATATAAATGGCTAAAAAAAAAGTAGACGAAAAGACTGAAGGAATTGAGCTTGCAACCTTAGGATAACTCATCCGATGCTCTACCATTTCTGCTACAGCGGCAGCCGTTGTCCTGTCCAGTTCAGATATTTCTTTGCACATAAGCCTGGGAGTGTTAGAAAGCGCCACTCGTAGCCATGATGGCGAGTGTAGAATGGGCTTTTTTGCCAGCTGGCAGCTCACCAATAATCTCTTCCGTGCTAAGCGAAGACATCAAGTCTCTTAAGGCATCAAGTACCTGAAGCTGTCAAGGCAGAGGTCATATTTCTGCTGATCAGCTCATGCTTATCATGAAACAGTAGGCCGGGGTCTTTGTCTCCTAGCTCCAATTAGTGTGGCCAACCATTACAATTGTAGTGGCTTGCCATGTAAAGGATGGTGATGCCAGCCAGTGTGTCAACCATTCAGTTGATAAAACTAAGATTTCTTTATGTGCACTTTTCCGTGTATGTAGCCTTGCCAGATACATACATGGATTGTTGGTAAAGTGCTGAGGCTTTGTCTGGTAAAATAGTATTATTGATCTGATCAAATCATATTATTAAAATTTTTTATAGTGGGCTTTTCGGGCTTCCATACACCGCTGCCAATGCGACTCCCTCGTTGCAAAGGCTTTGTCAAAGTCGACTACCGCAGTCACTTTCAGAGACAATGGCAGCCCCGTGATGGCGAGAACACTGTCAAAACGGTGATCTTTAAGGCTTCTATCGAGCTTTAAGGACAGCAAAAAGTTTGCCTAACTCACATTGGGGATTTATGGAGTCTGCAGCAATGTTATACCACCTATCAAGGCCATGTACACAATTGCATTGTGGGCTTTAGCATTGTTATGGTGGAGCTTTCTTTTTGCAGCCAATATGCAGTGGCTCTTGCATTTTCAGCATTGAAATAAAAAGGACAAATGTTTCTGAAATCAAGTATGACTGACCATAGTCTGTATGCTATTTGCTATAAGAAGTAATTTGCCTTATCTCAGTTTTTTATAATGATGTTCCATTGTAGTTGCATGGAGTTGGCATAAACTGGATCGGCTAGTTTTAAAAAGCCATGTATAGTTGTTTAATTACTACTGTTTTTATAATTGTACGGGTTTCGCCATTGGGTATAGTAACATAATTTTTTATTGATTTTTTTTTTCAGTTGTGTGCAACAACTACAGTAGCAGTTGGAAAGAAATTTAGGGAGGATAGAATCTGGCTCAATGGAAAGTAAGTGTGCATATGTAATGCAATATTTATTTGGATGAGATTTGGAGCATGACAGTGACAGTAACTTAGAGGATTTCAGTAAGTTGCTTCTGATTCAGCAACTTCAGTACCTTTTCAAGTAATCATCGAATGACCTCACTGTAACAGTTTACTGCCTATTGAATCTCTCGCCACAAAAATATTTCAAGTTTATTGCATATAATCAGCTTTACAAGAAGTTCTTGCATTCTTCAAGTGCTTTTTTTGTTGTTGTTTTCACAAGTGTGCTGAAAGCCACGTGGGGGGTGATGGGGGGATAAAAGTTTCAATTCTTTTTACTTCCATAAAAATAAATGAAGGCATAAACAGAAAGTTGGAGCCTTCTTGAAGGGGGCAAGAAGCTGCGTTAGTGAGCCTCATGGCCTTCAGTATTTTTACTTTTATTCTTTGGACATGTTAGCCACAACCTCCACTTCAGATGAGTGCAGCGCTGGCATGTGGTAGCACGCTGTGAAAGCTACAGTATTAGCTACCTCATTGCACAGATGATCTAGTAGAAGTGATGCTTAGATGTGCTAAATGTTCAGCTTAGTTACCAGAGTACCTGGCTTTTTTCTGTCAGGTTGTTTAGTGGGTAGTAGCCAAATCTAGAGAGCACATTTTGAAGTGGCTTCAATTAGCTAATCTTAGACTCATCTGCTAAGACATGGTTCGTAAGGAGTGCTGAAGATGGCTGGTGTATGCTGGCAAGAGTACCTGTGGTTTTTTTTAAATGAAAATATGCATCAGTAAGTGCTCTCATAACAAGCTCAGTGCTAGGCAAAGCATCAACACAGGTACATCGTTCTCAAAATAGCATGGTTGTAATATGCCAATGGCAGCTCATGTAAAGGTAGGGGAAAAGAAAACATTAGACTGACGACGATCGATCGAGACTGGAAGTACCAAGACTAGTTACTTATTCAGTGCTTTCAGGAGAGTGACGTGTATGTGTTTTTAATTATTGAAAACAAAACAAACTGGTATTACTGAGAATGTTTTTGCAATCATGAAACCTGTCAGTGCCGTTGTCAGACCCGCCTGCTACATAGTTAATTGACTAAGGGGAAAGTGAGTAATATTTGGCGGTCCTTGGCACGAAATTTTAATTTCTTTGATGGGAAATGTACATATATTTTTGGCTGAGATGCTCATTGAAGCTTGACTACAGATTGGCAGCATTTTCTGGCTGTGTGCAAAAGATGCTGCAGGGTTTCTTTGAAGCAATAACTGCTTTCTGTTCTTGGAATCGTTTTTGTTCAAACTGTAATCCTGATTGGTATAGTGGCTTCTTTGCTTTGAAAATAATGGCATGCTCTGGGGGGGGGGGGGGGGGGGGGGGGGGGGGGGGGGGGGGGGGGGGGGGGGTGGGTAGAGCTTAAGAATCTGTAATGTTCCCTCATTACTGCATTTCGTGGTACTACCCTGATGTGTATTTGGGCAGTAGCTTGCAGGTACGAGTCTGCCTGAATGTTTTTAGGCATATGTTTTCAAATTTAAAAGCCAGCAAGAACAAAACAAACGAAAGAAAAAGCTTTGTTGTTACTCACTAGTATGTTTTCAGCAGCTAAGGGACAAATGCAAGGATAACGCAAAACAAACTACTACATGGTAAATTGTCTATTCTCAACTTTTATAACTTGTGTTCAGCAATTTCTATATATCATGATTTTTTATTTTATTTTTTACTTTTTTTATTGGTACCCACTGTGCCTGTTAAAGCATTGAGGATTGGATGGTGATCTAGAAAAAAGATAAGACATTGATATTGTAGGTAATACATCTTTGCAATGAACGTGATAGAGATCTTACACATTGTGAGAAATGGCACAAGCGAAGCTTTAATGAGGCAGCAAGGTGAAATGACGCATTACAGCAAGAGTTGCACTGCAGATGTATAAATAACAAATGCATAATTCAGCCACCATGTTGAATCTTGCAGAGCTAGTGTATGTTTTTTTTCATCATTAAAATGGGTTGGTCCACAAGGCATGGTGTGCTAGATCATGTCTAAATTTACCGAAGTGTTGAGGTACAATGAGAGATGTGTAGTGAATATCGGGGCTGTGCTGAAGGACTGAGGTTTGATCCCACCATCATGCACATAATCAAATCCTATGTGAGCAATATGACAAGATGGTCACATTTATAGTGAATTCCAAAAGGCTTTGCAAAGCAAGCTTTGCTTTAAAACTGTATTTATGATTGTGTGTTTGGTCAGACTTTTGATGGCAGGTTGGAAACAAGCCTATTTTATTCTATTGTACTCGACATTGCATATAGGATAACGGGTACTATTCTTTGCATGAAAACAGTGCACGCTGTATGACATGGAGAAACACAAATAGCATTTTGTATTAAGTTTAGTAGAAATTTTCTAGTATATGAATTTTCCTTGCATTAAAAACCTTCCATTGTTATAGACTGTTGTGCCAATAGAATCTCGACGATACAATTACGGTTGATGCGAATTTCGCTATGATATGAATTCTAAGGTTGTTTCGGATGGACTACATTATATAAAATACACCATGATTTGGTGTTATACGAATGGTTTCCCCAGCCACCGCAGATGACACGGATGTGCGATTGACCGCTGCATGCCAGCGGCGCAACGCAGCAAAAACACGCCACCAGGCAGACGCGAAAAAATCTGTCGGAGACCGATTGTCCCGCCACGCGATAGCATAGTATTGCCTTTTTGTTTCACGGTTTTGGCTTCACCGACTGCTCTATCACTCTATCTCTCAAACCACGGGATATCAACTACCAGCCGCAAATAAAACATGGGGGCGGAGGCGTCGGCCGTGGTAGAGTGTATTAGAACAAGGGGAGTGCCCCGAACGGCCGCAGGCTGCAGCATCAATGCACTAAAAGTGAAGCCCAAACAGGGTAAATCCGCTTGTGGCGCTGTGATTGGTAGTCTGCAATGTGTCGTCGTTTTAAGCCGCGCGCAGCTCTACTGAAGTGGTCAAGGAGTAGAATGCTCGCTTCCCACTCGGAAGGCTCAGGTTCGAATCGCAGCTGTGAACAATGGATTTTCTTTTTAATTTTACTTGCACAGGTGTATTGGTTGGCTTTTTTTTTTTAATCTGGCTTCAGTTGCTACATATTGCTACAAAAAAATCTAGCGAAATATGACAATGTGCTTTCACCGCAGGCGAGTGAAAGCACACTGTCTCTCTTATTTGCTAAAATCTCGGAAGCCATGCTTTAAAGTTTTCGTTAAATCCCATGTGGTAACGCGAGTTGCTGTTTGCAGCCCGCACGCAGAAAATCCAAAATAGCGTGCGGCGATCGCGGCCCGCTACACCGGCAAAGTGCTGGGAGTAGCTTCCATGCATTTGAGTTTGCGGTCGGGGTGAAAGTCTCTAGAGTTTTCCCTAGAGGGAGCAAACGCTATTTTAAAGCTCATATGGAACCCGCTATGCTCGCAGCCCCTGCAAACGCCATTCTAAAGCTCCCTAATTATCGCCATGTCACGTGCCGCTGATGGCAACGTAATAGCACAGTCGTCAGAGCAACGTCACTGCATTGCCATGTACGTAGGGCCATTCATACGTGCACGTCATGCCCTCATTAGGTAGTTTTAGAATAGCGCACTGCGAGCCCTTGCGGTGCGGTCGCTGCCACTGCGTATGCGTCGTATGCGAGCCGCTGTTCGCGGCCCGCCTGCAGAAAATCTGAAACAGTGTGTGGTGATCGAGGCCCGCGAAGTGCTGGTGTCGAGGCTATGTGTAGTTTTCGTGCAGTTGAGTTTGCGGGGCAGCTAAAGTCTCTATATTGTTCCCTAGGAGGGGAAACGTTATTCTAATAGTCATATGGTGCCCGCAACGCCTGCACCACCTGTGAACGTTATTCTAAAGCTCCCTAATCTCTGGGCGCACACCCGCAAAAGAAAGGGGGAGCTGCGTTCATCTTGAAATATGACCCACTTCCGCAGGGCGTAGTGTTTCAAATTTCAGCAGACGTGATCATGAATGCCTCATCTGCGCATTGTGCTTGTCGGCTCAAAATTGTCAAACCTGGTGAGTGGCCCTTTAACATGTAGGTGTACATTTTCTGGTAGCAGGAATGTCACATGCTCTGCAATGTTAAAGGACCCCTGACACAAAATTTGGAAACTCGTGACGCTTGTGTTGTTTGATAGGCCTGCATGCAGGGCCACTTCTGACCGATTATTAGTGACGAGGGTTGCCTATCAGATATTTTAGTTTCGTATTAAAGTAAGAGTGCATGCTCATCTGAGTATTCAGGTACAGTGAGCATTTTTTTTTTGTGGTTTGATGTAGACCAGGGTCTCTTCGTCACGTTGCAGAGTTCAAGCAAGTATTGTTAGCGTGGTGGGAGAACATTTGCGTGGTGCGCACAGTACCCTGACTGGCAGCCGGTTTGTCTCCCCTCTAGATTTATTATTAGCCACTTTTAAGGTGGTTTTGACTGCTTATGCCAGGAATTTTCTTTTTTTCTGAGCAGGACAGGCTCATAACCCACATCGTTTCGTTCTTCACCGCCCGCAGGTCCCCATATTTCTCGAGCGCTGCGCTGCTGCAAGGCGCTAGTGTCTTATGGCATTTAGGCGGGTGTTCAGAACGGACACAAAATTGTTCTGAATTAATGGCACTAGCATTATTTATATTGCTACGTAGCTGAAATATCAGCGGTCAGAAGACGACTAAGATGGAGGACAGCACGCACAACTGACAGACCACGTAGCTATATGATGTGTTGGAGCTTTTACGGTTCAGTCTTGGCATTACCAGACGCAAAGCTACAAATTACTGTAAAAACGTCTCAGACAAAACTTTTGCTGTCAGGTGCCCTGTCCCTTTAATGTCTAATGGCACTGTGCACGCTGCCTGGCACACAAGAGTACTAGCTTCCGTTTCAATGCCTTATGATCACATCTGGTTGTATTAATGACAGTGAAAGGCATTTTTGTATATTAGAATTGTTCAGATGCCACATATTGACAGGAAGAGCCCTCAGCGTGCCTTATTGTTAAACCCAAAATGCTTTGTCAGTGCATAAAATTTGTCAGGTATGTCTGGATAGGTTTTGCATAAAGAAAAATGCAAGAAAAAAAGGTTGCTGGCATGTGTACTTTTGGTAAATAGATGTACAACTAAGGTATAGCAAAGCTTGGATCTATTAAAAATAGTGCACAACGGTTGTCTTTCAGTGCAAAATAAAAATGTCCAAGAGAGTTTACATATCTGCTCTAGTACAATGACATAGTGTCACTCACTCTAATAAGTTATTTCATGTCACACATGTTCAGTGGAGAATACGGGTCGAGATAACTTTATTTACAAAGTCTGTTCCTAATGCAATGAGACTCGGTCTGGTAAAAAGCATATAGATCCGATTAGTACATATGTTTTAATTCCTCGAAATAGTATCCTCTGGCTTCGATACGAATTTCAACATGATTCGCATGCTGCAAAGATTCCCGGAAAGTCTGCTTCTGGGACCTCTTTCAAGGAGACTGTGACAGCTGGCTGGATGACGAGATCAGCATAGAAATGATGTCCTTTCTAGGTTCTGTTGAGATTTTAGAACAGGAAAATGTCAGGTGCACTCGTATCAGCTGATACAGCCTCGATCTGAGTGTGGCAGGCTTCCTCCTGTTGGCGAATCTGAAGTGAAGCGAGTAAGGTCATTATTTTGATGGTGTTCCTGCGATACAAAAGGCTGGCACTGAGTCACTGAAGAAGGTAATGGCAGCGGATTTTCGGAAATTCTTATGGGATTCTTAAAGGGAAAAGAAGAGAAAAGTGAGCCGCGTAACTGTCTGCATCAGAGCGCGACACCATAACAGTAGCTCACAAGGGATGGGGGTAAGGAGCAATTAAAAGGTGTATATACAGAGAGGAAGCAGAGAGCGAAGCACAGGGACAAGGAGCAACGGAAGTAAGGAGGTGATAGGAAAGATGGACATCGTCGCAGAAGTCCAGGGACGGGGCACCAACCAGCGAGAGCTCATGTCGGCGGCAGGAGATGGCGTAAGGGGAGCCCAGTCGGCCAGAGCTGCGCTGTCGTCGGATATCGGAGGGGCACAACCGGTCGGCACGAATTCCAGAGAGCGAGTGTCCGGAAAATATCTGCAATGTGTAAAACATTTTGGAATATGTGTACTAATCCCCAAGGAAACTATTTTGAAAAATGTTCACCTCGGTAGATCAGTGGCTTGGGTGCTCAGCTTCCGACTCAAAAGGTCGCGGATTTAATCCCGAATGCGGCGGTTACATTTGGATGGAGGCGAAATGGCAGACACCTGTGTACCATGTGATGTCAATGCACATTACAGAACACCAGAAATTTCTTGCACTAACTACGGCGCCTCTCATAATCATATCTTGCTTTCCTGATTTAAAACCCCACATATTATAATCATTACTATTTTAAAGAATTTAAATTATATGTGCGTGTTGGATTGATAGATTCTGCCAGACCCAGTCTCGCAACTTTACAGACGGACCCTAGTTATGTAGTTCAGAAATTTTAAGCTTTGTTTTGTATTATATGGTTTTCAGAGAATTACATACTTGTACAAGATAGTGTTGCTTTTAATTATCACAATTCAGTGTAAGAAATGTATCATTGATTTTATGAGTTTTATGGCATATGCTGATTTTAGAAATTTCATGGGACACCTAGTCATAGGTAATGTTTGTCAGATTTGTGATTGATTGTATTGTGCAGTATAACAGTTATGTATTTTTTCTTGCTTTAGAGAGGAATCCGCACATTCACCAAGACTGCAGAACTGTCTTCATGAAAGTATGTGTACATTCCTTTGTTAATATATATATATATATATAATATGCCCTTTAAACAACACAATTTTTTTTTTTGCTACTTCTCACGTTCACATACACCTGCACGATCGTTTTCAGCATGTTCGAAAATGATTAAAAATTGATTAGGCCCACTTGATGTGGATGGCTTCTTAACAAGTGGGCCTAATCAGTTCTTAACTTTCTCCAGTCATGCTGAAATATATATAGATATGAATCATTCCATATCAAGTGGGCCCAATCAATTTTCAACCATCTGCCATCATGCTGAAAAAAAATCGTGTAGGTATATGCGAATATGAGTAGTTATTGAGACGTTATACTTCACAAAAAAATTTTGTGTTGCCTAAAGGATGCTTGAAACTTGGGGCACCCAAGTGAAACTGTGTCGCAATAAATAATTTATATAATATTACTGGTTCGAGCTATTACTACGAGATGTTTTTTTTCTTAATGTCAAGGTGCTTCTTTCATAACTGTGGTAGTTTATTCATTTTTGTTTTACCTTTCTTTATTTTTCACCTTGGAGAAAAATTGCAATATGCTGTATGTGAAGCATTTGTTACAAAAAGCACAAATGTATTTGTGAGTAGTCTATATTTTCTGTTTTATAGGTTCTTATATTAAATGACTAAAACACTTCACAAAGGAATGAAAAACATTGTTACAATATTGTGACAAAGTTGGGATAAATAGCATGTATGTTATGGCTTGATTTTTGAAATTAATGGTTCAAATAAAAAATATAGCTTATATATTTTTGCATAGTATGCTAAAAAGCAAGACATGCAGGAAGTTTCAAAAGAGTAGTTTTTATTTTAAAGGAGAAAAAATGTTCCATCTGAATAACAACAAGGTAGTAAGAAGCTGGCCTTTGCCTCACCTTTAGTGCATAGCACGTCAGTGCGAGGCTTCTGTAGGTCTTTTTGGTAGCGAATAAGGCATGTCATACAACTGCTTGTCACTTTTTTTAGTAATACGGCTGTATAAGATGTCAAAAAGGGACAATAGGGCTTATTTTATGGAATGGTAGCTTCTCCCTTTGACCATCAAACGACAAGTCATGCGGAGTTATCAGTCGATGACCTTCACAACATTATTAGGGCGCCGTGTTTGTGTTCTGATAAAAAACACCAAGCCTGCGCGGAATGTGCAGCAGAGTCGCAGTGAAAGCTAGAAGAGCGGCCTTTCAGAGCCTTTTCTAAATACTATTTGGGATGTTACAACCACACTGCTGAGTACAGCAGTGTGGTTGTAACACTCGCACGGCCGCCGACACTGTTCCGTAGTGCGCCAAGGTCACGGGCTGCTAAAATTGTTCGGTAGCGCGTTTCTCAGCTTGCGGCTGCTTCTGCACAGAGCTGATCGACGAGCAGATAAGACGACGGTGAGTTAAGGCAGGATTTATGTGCAGAATAGAATAGAGGCTTTGCATATTCGGCACTGGGGCTGACAGGTAAGGGACCCGAAGAGCTGAGATGTCTTGGGACGCTCTAATGCTTTTGTCTTCTCTCTGACGCATAGGTCAGCTGCTTGGCATCGCGCCGCTTGGTTCGTAGGCTCCGGGTGATCGCTTACGTCAGCAACGTCCAATCAGACCCGCCACTGGGTTGCATCCATGAGCGAGTGGTATTGCCACGCCTTGCGTAAGACTCGCCAGACTGGATGGCGTCGATTGCCTTATCGGGCTGCTATCGGGCCTGTGGGTTGAGGGAGCTCGCTGTGTGTTGCGTAAAACCCACTGGCGCCGCCGGGCTAGATGACGTCGTTGAGGTGATGGCGTCAGGCGGGCTCGCTTGCTGGCTTTGACACTAGTTGCCTTTGCAGAAGCAATGACGTTCGGTCTGGACTCCAGGGCATAACAGTACCCACTGCGCCATAAATAATAATTTTTGTGTAGTAGGCCAGCATTTACTATGCTATCCTTCGTCATTCTTTGGAGAAGCGTCGTATTCGCTACACACTTGTTAGAAATTTTGTGCAATTTTTTATGCAGTGGCTGACGACGATAAATTATGCCTTAGGTGTGGGTATATGCCGCAGTTAATAGGTTATCAAGAACACATTTTCTAATAGGTGGGAGCATTGGGTGACCTACTCAATCTGCAATTCGCATTGTGTGACACCTGGCTGTTCTTTTGATGTTATAAAATGCTCATTGATTGGTATTCTGTCATTTATGCAGCACTATGGTAGCAGTTGATGCTCTGTAGATTCCTTCCAGGATGTTTATACTATATGCTTTGTCGACACCCTGATTCTGCAGTGTCTGCATGACTGCTCATATTTCTACCGAATCAAATGCCTTCTCGTTATTTATGAAGGCTATGTATAGTGGTTGGCTGTATTCTGATAATTTCTCTACTACCTGATTGATATTATGAATGTCGTCGATTGTTGATTAACCTGTTCGAAATCAGGCTTGTTCCTTTGGTTGATTGAATTCTAATGTTGTATTAATTCTGCTAGCAATTACCTTTGTAAATACTAGCTTCTATACGATGGAGAGCAAGCTGATCAGCCTGCAATTCTTCTTTCTCATGCATTGAGATGATGTTAGCATTCTTCCAAGATTCTGGTACTCTCCCCTTCAGCAGACACTTCGTAAATAGGGTGGCTAGTTTTTTTCTGTCCTCTGTCTTCCGGCAGGTCTGATATTACCCGATCCTCACCAGCAGCTTTGCCTCAAGGCTTTTCTGACTTCTTCTGTCATTACTGGTGTATATAATGTGCAATAAATGTGGGAACATCAGTCGGCGCAACCAGCAGCCACGGGGGCAAGTGTGGAACACTCTTTTTCTGCCTGTTTGGAGTTGCATAGTACATGATCTTATTGTGAGCTGGCAGCTGACCTATAATCCCTCTTATACTACCTGAAAGCACCAAGACGAGGGATTATTGGTCAACTGCCAGCTTATAATAAGATCGCGTACTAAGTGACACCAAACAAGCAGAAAAGAGTGTTCCACACTTGCTGCCACGGTTGCTTGCGGCGCTGACTGATGCTCCCACATGTAATGCACATATATGCCCCATAAGGTAGTTGGGGGGCGATAGCCACTGCGGTAGCTCAGTTGGTAAAGCATCCGGCGCGTTATTCGAAGGTCGCAGGTTCGGCCCCTGCCCATGGCAAGTTATTTTTTCGTCCACATTTATTTCTTCACATTTACATTACAGTTGAATCTAATACCATCTCCTACACTTTCTTTGGCATGATTGCCTGTTAGATCTCGTTAATAATGTGTCTAACAAAGAAAAATTAGCCCTTAAATGTACACTTCTTAATCAAGGAGGGTGTAAGACAAGCGGATACAATCTCCCCAATGCTATTTACCGTGTGCTTACAGGAGGTTTCAGAGGCCTAAAATGGGAAGAGTTAGGGATAAAAATTGATGGAGAGTACCTTAGTAACCTGCGCTTCACGTATGACATTGCATTGCTGAGTAACTGAGGGGACGAATTTCAACTCATGATTACGGAGTTAGACAAGGAGAGCAGAAAGGTAGGTCTTAAAATGAATCTGCAAAGAACAAAAGTAATGTAAAACAACCTTTGAAGAGAACAGCGCTTCGAGATAGGTAATAGAGCACTTGAAGTTGTAAAAGACTACATCTACTGAAGACAGATAATACCAGCAGGGCCGAACCACAAAATTGAAGTAACTAGAAGAATAAGAATAGGGTGGAGCACATCTGGGAAGCACTCTCAAGTCATGACTGGTAGATTGCCACTATCCCTCAAGAGAAAGGCATATAACACCTTCATCTTGCTGATACCTACGGAGCAGACACCTGGAGGCTTACAAAGAGGGTTCAGCTTAAATTGAGGATGATGAGATTAGGAAGTTTGCGGGTATAAAGTTGCAGCAGCAAGCACAGGACAGAGTTGACTGGTGGATCATGCGAGAGGCCTTTGTCCTGCAGCGGACATGGGCTGATGATGATGATATACCTCGTAAGGTGATTGGGGGCATAGCCGCCGTGGTAGCTCAGTTCGTAGAGCATCGGATGCGTTATTTTAAGGTCACAGCTTCATTCCCTGCCCAAGGCAAGTTACCTTTCGTCCACTTTTCTTTCTTGACATTTACACTACAACTACACCCAAACCTCATTACAACTGTAGTGGAGACTTGTATCTTACATGAAAATAAGGTTGTTATATTCGAAAATTTGTTATAAAGGTTTATTTTCAGTACTAATTCTGCTGCGAGACTATTTTTATTTACTTTGTTATAACCAATATTTCCTTATATCCGGATTCATTATATCGAGTTTTGAGTGTAATTCTAGTAACACCCCTATACTTTCCTTAGTATGATTTTTGTTAGATCCCATTAATTATTATGATAGTATTTTGTATCTGTATCTCAAATAGTTCTTGCCTGAGTATCATGTATATTATATTGTGATACAGTTTCAGAGTATCTTTGCCGATATATGATTTTTTTTTTTGCTTTTTATTAAACAAAAAATAAACTGAAATGCTCAATTGAATTCAGACTTTATTCCAATGCTCTAATTTATGTTTAAACACAACATTAATATTTTTTACATGGGTTACCAATTGCTACCTAATAATGTGTTTAACCAGAATATGAAAAAAATGTTTTAATCACACCGAGGGACTGCAAAAGCAATGTATTGGTATTGCCAGAATTGGAGACATTGTCATTTGTTAAAAGCTTGGCTTACAGCAATCAGTTCTTAATAAAAAAATTATAAATATGCATATATATTATATGATGCATGAATTACACAGTAAATTTTGTGAAAGAGCACATTAAAGTTTACAAAGTTTTACAAGTGAATTAATTTGAGTTCAGCATGTTTGAATAGGTCTCTTTGTGTGCTTGTGTTCAACACATTAGCCTACAGAAAAAAATTCTGGAGTATATTATTTATTAGCATTCTGTCATAAAGTACTATAAAGTGTGCTATTGTGACCACTTCACAGCACTTTGATGGATAGATAATCATTAAAAATGCCCGATATTTTGTAGTATTTTCCCCCTGGTAATTGAATTTTTCATTGTTAAAATATTTGTCTCTTAGTTCGCAAGAAAAGCCAGTACCAGCACGTACAAGACTTTCCTGACTGGGCAAATTGGAATGTTCACATGTGCTCTGTAAACAATTTTCCAACATCTGCAGGGCTGGCATCATCGGCTGCTGGTTATGCATGCTTAGGTGAGGCCATCTTTCAAAATAAATGTTTTGTGAGGAATGTTGTCTGGTTAAATAATCTGATGTCTTTTTTTTTTCATGACATTGCCTTTTTAATTTACCTTTCAACAAAATTTGTCTGCGCCTTATACATTGATATCTTAGGCTTGAACTTTAGAAAGTAAGCAAGCTCAGTATAAAAGTACTGCATTTTGCAAGATGTTTTATTAGTACTTATGTTGTCTATTTCAGAAAAACTTATTAGGCTATTGCCAGGAAAGTTTTTTTCTGGGTTTTGTTTTTTCTGATTCTATTTTTTCTATTTGAGTTTTGTTCCCAAGCACAAAAAAAAAAAAAAGAAGTGTCTATAACAGCCTGGGTTGGGTTTTGTTTACATGCAAAAATTGGATGTTAAAGAAATCATAAAAGCATAGAAGTTATGGTGCTGTTATTTGCACTTTTTTTAACTTCGGGTAGGTGTCAAAACACATTTTTTGCATATCCTTAACTAGAACAGACCAGTACCCTTTCAATTTGTAGTAATGAGCTTTCTCGTAAGTGAATTATAAATTTGATAAGCAGGGTCAATGTCTTGTGCACTGATGCTCACATTGCATAACTTTAGTTGTTGCAGTTGCCAAGTTTTCCTTAAACTGAAGACCGATAAAAATATTTGCTTCATTCCAGAATGAAATGATAGATCATGTTTCTGTTACGTATTCAGTATGGTAAAAAAATGTGTTCTTTTTTAGTGTTCGATTTTTGGTTTTCGTTCCATTCTGGCGCACTAGCTCGTGCTCGGCAGGAGTTGCTTAGAATGCTGCATTGGGCTAATATGTTGCACCTGTGTATAGTTAAAACACTGTCCGAGAAGTTGAGGCGCCACACTATATTATATTAATATTATATTATCACACTATATTATCTTCATAAATATGTGTTGCTTGAGCATAAGTGCTGTTGTGTTTAAAAAAAGACTGGTCACTTTATTTCTATTCATGAAGTTTACTTATGAAAACCTATTGATAAAAAAAAAAAAAACTCATTACTGCTGCATTAGCCTTGACAGTAGAAATAAGTTTTATGCTTAAAAGTTCGGCAAGCCATGTTGCTTAGGAGCCCCACCGGGGTGGTCTTGTGGGTTAGGTATTCGGCTGCTGACCTTCAGGTCGCGGAATCGAATTCCGGCTGCATCTTTGATGGAGGCGAAAATGCTGTAGGCTCGTGTGCTCAGATTTAGGTACTCGTTCAAGAACCCCAGGTAGTCGATATTTCCGAAGCCCTCCACTACGGTAGCTGTCATAATGATATGGTAATTTTGGGACGTGAAACCCCACATAACAATAAATCAATCATGCTGCTTGCTAGAATGTTTTTGAAGAATGTAGTTGATGCTCACCACATGTCACTTTATTTGGCTTGTAAAGGCGACATTGCTACAGAATAGCGCTTATCAGCGTGCCACATGAGAAATGTTTGGCCACTGATTTTGGCAGTTGCTTCACTCATCAAGAGCTCACACAGCAGTTTTTCATTGTGACATTTATGCAATGCTATATTACTTTCAGGAAAGTCACTACTTATAGCTTAACCAGTAATAGTTCAGTTATGTTTACTTGATTCATCAAGTGGGAATTGCAGTGATGGATTCAGCTTTCTTTATACCTATCACAATGCCTCTCTTTTCTTATGTTTTGATGCCATAAACGTCAGCACTTAGTGTTACAAAACTCTACCAAGTTGATTCCGACAACTTCAGCTGAGTTCATGTCACACTTCTGAAACATTGTATAGATAGTTATTAATGATGCATGAATGTTCTATGGTTGCATGCTTTCTTTTTTGCGCTAAAAAAATTAAAGGAGCACAAACAAAAGATATTGCATAATGTTTTTTTTGTTACGATAGGTTGATGATGATTACAATTGGTAGCCAATGACCCACTTATCACGGCTGGAAAGTGTGTTTGCTTGAACCCACTGTAGATTTGTAATTTGTAGATGTAATTTGTAGATGTACTTTTGTAGATGTAATTTGTAGATGTAATTTGTACTGTAATTTGTAGATGGTTTTGTAGTGGCCATTCGCAGTTTTCGTTTCAGAGGGACAAGTGAGGCGGGACCCAGTGTGGTCTTCCTGTAAACATAGCTGGCTACGTGAGCACACAGAACCGTGTGTATAGTATAGGAGCACCGCATCAACTCTTTTCAGTGTAGGCTTTCTTGGCGCTGCTATAATCTCCTCTGAGACAGTGTGAATATTGTTTCGAGAAGGAGACTGACTCAGAGGGGTAGTCACCGATGTATTTACAGCCGGTTAGGCGAGCAGCGCCAGCCACACAGATTAGCTTACGCCAGTCTATCTGCTTTATTTTCTTCAACTCCATGCACTGGCACGTAGCATGACTCCCGGCGGCGGAGGCACCGTCTCGGTGCTTTAAAGGTCGTTATCTGACGCATTCTTGTAGGGCTTGATCCGCGAGACGTGTACAAAATCACTGGGCCGCATAATAGATGATGATGGCCAGATGGGGCTGATCTCGTAGGTGACAGGTGTTACTTGACGCAATATACGGTAGGGTCCCGTGTAATGAGACAGAAGTTTTTTGATAGGCCCAGCCAATGATGAGGGGACCAGAGTAAAATGAGGGTACCGGGAGCGAAATGTACGTCTCTGTTCCGCATCGTACCGACGGCATTGGTTGGTTTGCGACGCCATCAGCCGAGCGCGAGCGAGCTGACGGGCATGATCGGCTCACGCAATCGCGTCGCGGGCATACTCGCTGGTGGACGAGGTGTGAGCTGAGGTGACTGTGCCCAGTGGTAAAGTCTGCTCTCTTCCGTACAATAAGTAGAACAGTGAAAAGCCCGCTGTGTCGTGACGGGATGAATTATACGCAAAAGTTGCGTAGGGTAAGGCAAGGTCCCAGTCTCAGTGGTCGGGAGACACGTACATAGCGAGCATATTTGTTAAAGTGCAGTTAAATCGTTCCGTGAGGCCGTTTGTTTGAGGGTGGTAAGCGGTTGTCAGTGTGTGTTGCATGGAACAAGAATGCAGAATGTCGGCGATTACTTGGGATAGAAATGTACGGCTACGGTCTGTGAGAAGCTGTCTCGGAGCACCGTGAATCAATATAACGTCCCGTAACAAGAAGTCAGCGACGTCAGATGCACGGCTGGTCGGTAGAGCTCCCGTAATAGCGTAGCGTGTAGCGTAGTCTGTAATAACGGCTATCCATTTGTTTACCAATGTTGATGTGGGAAAAGGACCAAGCAGGTCTAACCCAACACGGTAAAATGGTTCCGCGGGTATGTCAATTGGTTGAAGATGGCCAGCGGGTAGCAGCGACGGTGTTTTACGACGTTGGCATAGGTTGCACGTGGTGACGTATCGGCGTACCAAACGAGCAAGGCCTGGCCAGAAAAAACGGCGCCGGACGCGCTCGTACGTGCGGGATACGCCAAGGTGTCCAGCCGTGGGAGCGTCGTGAAGTTTGGTGAGAATACAGCGGCGCAAATGCTTAGGCACAACAATGAGAAGGTCGGGCCCGTCTGGTCGGAAATTGCGACGGTATAGTACACCCTTTTGAATTAATGACAAAGTAGCGGACGGAAGCATCATTTGTGGAGGATTCCATACGGCTGATGATGTCAAGCAGCTCTGGATCACGCTTCTGTTCTTCCCCAATATTAAGGAAGTCGGACGCCGACAAGATGGAGTTCTCTGTGGGCTCGTCAGTGTCCTCAGGATCGTCGACAGGGTACCGGGAGAGGCAATGGGCGTCATGGTGTAGGTGGCCAGATTTGTAGACCACCGAGTAGGAAAACTCTTGCAGGCGCAAAGCCCAGCGACCAAGGCGGCCTGATGGATCTTTCAGAGAGTTGAGGCAGCAGAGTGCGGGGTGGTCGGTAACTACCGAAAGTGGGCGTCCGTATAGATGAAGTCGAAATTTCGCCACCACCCATACAAGAGCCAAGCACTCACGCTCTGTTATCGAATAGTTACGTTCAGGGGCGGATAGGAGGCGGCTGGCATATGCAATAACGCAGTCATGGCCATGTTGTTTCTGGGCCAGCACTGCACCAATGCCATGCCCATTTGCATCTGTACGAATTTCCGTAGGGGCAGCAGGGTTGAAGTGTGCCAGAATCGGAGGGGTAGTGAGAAGAGGGACGAGAGTCGAGAACGCAGAAGCCTCTTTGGAGCCCCATGAAAACGGGACTTCTTTCTTGAGGAGCTGCGTAAGCGGCCTCGCTATGTACGCAAAATTTTTCACGAAGCGTTGGAAGTAGGAGCATAGTCCGATAAAGCTGCGTACATCCTTCGCAGATCGGGGTACAGGAAAGTTTTTGATAGCGCTGATTTTTGTCGGGTCTGGTGGTACACCGTTGGCGTCTACTAAATGGCCAAGCACTGTGATTTGATGGCGTCCAAAGTGACATTTGGATGAGTTGAGCTGCAGGCCAGCGCGACGGAAGATTCCCAGGATGGCTGAGAGGCGCTCTATATGAATTTCAAATGTTGGTGAAAAGACGATGACGTCGTCCAAGTAGCACAAACAGGTGGACCATTTGAATCCTCTGAGCAGGGAGTCCATCATTCGTTCAAAGGTGGCTGGAGCGTTACAAAGGCCGAAGGGCATGACCTTGAACTGATATAGGCCATCGGGGGTGATGAATGCCGTCTTTCACGGTCCATTTCATCTACCTTTATCTGCCAGTAGCCGGAACGAAGGTCTATGGAGGAAAAATAGTGGGACCCATAGAGGCAATCAAGCGCATCATCTATTCGTGGCAGAGGGTAGACGTCTTTTTTGGTAATTTTGTTTAGGTGTCGATAATCCACGCAGAAACGCCATGCACCGTCTTTCTTGCGGACTAGCACTACAGGTGAAGCCCAAGGACTGCAGGATGGCTCAATGATGTCCTTGGCGAGCATTTTGTCGACCTCACTTTGAATAATGTGACGCTCGGCCGCCGACACCCGATATGGACGCCTATGAATAGGATGCTCATTACCAGTGT